CTGAATCAATCAACACATAAGCATTCATTTATAAACAGTACAGATACTTGGGATAACAGTTGCAATATTTTGAGCGCTTTCTGGGATGAGTGTGATTACTCTATCCTGATTAGCAATTCCTACCATTGGTACGGATCTAGCTAAGGCAGAAGATTTATCCACATTTTGTTCAGTCCGGGGACAGTTCCTCACCATACGGTCCATTTCACCACACCCACAACAAACCCCAGAAATTCGATAACAAACTCCTCAATGTTTCTTACACTGGTGGTGGCAAAGGTTCTTGCTGTAGCGGCAACTAGCATTGTTGTCTTAAGATCTCGGCCATTTCTTGTACTATTCTTTCCAGTCTAACAAGTCGGGCTGTGGAAGAGCCTTCCAGCTCATATGCCCTTAATTAACCCACTCTCTACACAAACTCTTATTAAACCTTGCCGATTACTGGGGTGCCCAATACAAAAATAAACACAGATACACATCGGTACATTCGCACATTGTTATATTCTGATTTCATGTATCGTCAAGATACAATTAATCACATATGTAACAGATGATTGCATACTTATTAGATATCGCATGTTGAACTTTTACTAAGTAGTTATATACTCAAATCATGTTCATATTTCACATAGACACCCATTTGCAGAATCAAATGCACATAAGCAACTTCTCATGACTCATATATTCATATATGTGCCTTATAACGAAACAAACTTGTTGTATACATTAGTGCAATAATTCATATCTCATATTATCACATGTTCTCAATATTTGATTAAACTTGCATTATACTTTGTACAAAAGATTCACAGGTATGCGTATACTAGAAAAGCATACGTATTCAAACAATTTGCGATGCAAGCAGTTCACAAACTTATAACACATAGTTGTTCACATTTAACAGTTAAGCGTATTCTCGATGCTTCCAAATTTATACTTATCACATGAATGCATCCTAGATCTTTTCTAGACACTTATTGCTCTTTTGGACAAGTGTGTGAGTTATTAACTCGTGCTCTGATACCACTCTGTCACGACCCGAACCCGCCCCTATGGGTTAAGGCCATAACCGGCCAGTAATCACGAGATTACCTACGGCCTCAAACCAAATAAGACAAAACACATCAGAGTAAAGGGGCTAAACGAAAACAAATTTAAAATTTTGTCCATAGAGCCGTGCTTATATGCACATCATAACATTCCATACATACATATGTTAATAACTCACAACAGAAAGTATGGTAACCTAAAGTTCTATACAGACAGGATCATTCAAATCTAAGTCAGCCAAAACGAAGCTATACACAGACATACACCAAAGTCCTCGCCAACATGACAAAATAACATAGAATGGTAGAAGGGCGAAGACGTGTCTCGTGCGTGAGACGCAAGGGCTGACTCTTCAAAACCTTAGTTGTTCCATACAGACTTCACTAGGGCTGGGTTTGGACTTCTCCTGGGTCACTTACAAACACATGAATGAGCGTGAGCGATAGCCTAGTGAATAATATCAAATAAAAGAGTTATACAAACGGTATGTAGAATAACATGCTCCAAACGGCCTTGGGCCCAATTCATATTTCTATTTAACATATATATATATACACAATTTAAGTCAAGTGACTGTGGTTCTAAACATACTGGCCTTTGGCCCATTCATGCATGTCAAACTGCCATCTAGCCCATTCATGCATGTCAAACTGTTATTCGTGTCAAAATTCGTGTCAAACTGGCCTTTGGCTCATTCATTCATTCTTATCAAAACGGCCTTCGGCCCATTCGTTCATGTCAAAACGGCCTTCGGCCCATTCATTCATTCTTGTCAAAACGGCCTTTGGCCCATTCATTCATTCTTATCAAAACGGCCTCTGGCCCAATCATTTAGTATAACAACCATTGTCCACCAATCGAATCAATGAACTTATGAAACTTACATTGAAGTAAGCAATTTAGACAATAACATATTTCAGATATCTTTGTTAAGATATTACTCACAGTGATCGGCTTGTGGATTTGCCCTGGAGCTTGACCCTACACATCATATAACACATATGGGTCACAAACGATTCAATCCGTTCTTTAATTCACATATTCTTCTTTAGGCTTCATTCTTATCTCTTTAACTCAATTACAATGCTCAATGCATGCCTAAGAGTACTTACAAGTGAAAGAGAACGGAAAACGGAACTCAGAATGCCTTTTCAAAGTTTCAGAAAACAGGGTCCCCGCTCGAGCGGACCCATGAGGCCTGCAAAAGTACTGGTTATGTCGAATTTACGCTCGATCTCAAGCAGAAGGCCTCTCTACATGGCTCCCCGCTCAAGCGTGAACTTTCCTGCTCGAGCGGACACCATGTCTGCAGAAAATACTGGGAGCTCGAAATTCACGCTCGAGCGGCGGTTCTCCCGCTCGAACGGACGTCAAATTTTCTGCGTTTTTCAGAATGTGTTCTTGAGCTTCAACTTGATATTCAAAGGTTCAAAATACATTTTTTTGGCTATCTCTTCACGTATACATATACTAACATGGTATAAACACCAAATTACATCATTATGAAGCTCAATTTCACAATTTAATCATATGCATGTCCCAATCAACACTAAACTCATTTTCAACATAACAATTCCATGTATTTCAACTCATATTTCCATAAATTGTACATGCATGTGGGATATAATTCTCATTTCAACTTACATGGTGCAAATGATGATTACAAACATGAGCTTTAACCAAAATCCTACATGGATTACACACATTGTCCTCAATTATGGAAATTCATAGCAATTTCCTACATGCATGCATCAATTGGCTTCAAATTTATCAAATACTACACAATTCCTTCACTTATGGCACAATTCTTGCTCTTGATCATTAATCAACTTTAATTTTACAAAATTACAAGCTAGAATCCATGAAATACTCACCTATGAGCTTTAATTCTCATAATCTATAGCAAATTCTTGAGTAATCTTCAAGACTTCCAAGATTCAAGAGCAAAACTTACATGATCTCCCTTTTCTCTCTCTAATTTCGGGTCTCTCTCTCTCTAGAGAGTTAGATCAGCCAAAATGAACAAAAAGAGGAATTGAGTGTGTATAATGGCCCTTTTTAAAAGCTCCCTCAAATACATTCTTTTAATATAAAATAATTGGGCACCATAACATTAATTTAATCCATTTAATCTGATCCGAATCAATTTTCAATCAAATTTCACCGTAGGCGCTAAAACTTACGCTGATCACAATGGCACAGCCAATTTCGATTTCTGTGGCCGATAAGGCCTTCAATTTAATTTCCGAAGCAGATAATCAAACAGATATTCCTACGATGAACAGATAGAAATTCAAAACCACATATATTCATATAAATGACACTCAAAATCATATCAAACACATAATCATGTGCATAAGGAGGATAATTTAGCATAATATGGAATAGGGGTATCACAGTTTTCCCCCCTTTAGGAAGTTTGGTCCTCCAAACTTATCTTACCTATAGTCGAACACAAATCGAAACACTTTCAAGTATATGGTTCACATATATGATCTTATTCTATAGTCATTTCCAAAACGGCCTCAGGCCCAATGTGAATGCAGAATGGCCTCGGGCCCACATATCATACAGAACGGCCTCTGGCCCACATATCAACAACTGTTTGCACACTAGAGGGTAGGTAGAACATCGACATGTACACTACCTTCCTCGGCCTTAGGCCATGAGTCGTAATCAATTCAAATCATACTAAGGTGGATGAGACATCGACATGTCATCACTTATCACGCCCCCGTTTTAGGCTGTCATCAATGTAACTTATATCTGAACGGCCTCAGGCCCAGCAATAAGATAACAAAATGACCTCGAGTCCATAAGTATACCATTATCCAGTATCACACTTGAGTTTTCTGATTGTTCATTATATAGAGACATAATTATTTTATCACCAACCAATCTTTAAGAGGAAACTTTGAGATTTGGTGGTAATGAAAAAAAGGAACCCTACTAATTCTCCCCTACTCTTTTTTTTTTTTTTTTTGTTGGTGCTCCAGTTTTTCTCTCATCCCTCTCTTGCAAAACACACAAAGGTATGGCCTCTCTCTCTCTCTCGTAGTTGTTTAATGGTGGGGTAAGGGTTTTTGGTAATGTGGTGGCGCTGTGGTAGGGATGGAATGGTGTAACGGAAGTGCGGTGTGGGAGGAGGAGGGCTAGCGGTGCTATAGTAGGGAGGGGAAGGGCAAGCATTTCAGATTTGTGGTGGAGAAAAAGGTAGTTTTGTGGTTGTGGATAAGAGGGAAGGAGGCAATGGATCTATGGTAGTAGAGGGTTGGAGGGGTTGTGGCAAGGGGCGAAAGGGGAAGTGTAAATAGCTAGGATAGGGGCTCCTAAGGGGAATGAAGAAGTTGGGGAGCCAGAAGAGGGTTGGGAGAGGGAAACGGTGTAGAAGCCCTTGTGTTTGATAAAATACCTGTGTGAAACATTGCCATATTGTTGGGTATTTTAGAGTTGATGGGTCATTTCATTATCTAGTGTGAAGAATCCTTAGTTCACCAGGTTTGAGTTGCTATGTTTGAAAAAATTTCCATCACAAATCCAAGACTTGCATTTTAATTCTCCTTCATTACATAAAAATGATATATATATTTTTAAATGTATTCTATGGCTTAATATTGATTTCTTCTATATTGTCACAAATTGCTATTATTTGCAAATTTTGAACGTAATGAGGTTTGATTGCTGGACAATCTTCGTGCTTAGTCTTACTGGTAAATGCAAAGATTGGGTTTTTAGCCACATTTCATAAAGGACTTCCTTCTTGTAATGTTTGATGAGTAATTTTCAGAGCTTGCCTAAATAATATGTTTGTAGTCTGTACTCTGTAACACATAGTAATGTTGCTAGTCTTAAATTTATGAATTTGTTGATTTCTTACTATCACAAGTTAAGATTCTAGGAAGTGGGATTTACCCTATATTGTTTTTCCTGAAACTGCTTTTGTGAATTAGTCTATGTGGGCAAGTGATGTGTACAAAATACCTTTAAGAAAGAAAAGAATTGGTCCAGGCATTGCACATAAGGATATAAAACTCTCTGATCTTCCCAAGATAACTCAGGTTTTTGTATCTCTTATTTTGTCTGTCACCATATTATTTAGCTCCTGCTTTGTTTCTCAGTTACTAGTTTGATTGGCTCGCTAATGGCATAATTTCTCCATGATGTAGCCCATGTTAATAATTTGGGGAGATCAAGATCAAATATTTCCACTGGAATTGGTGCACAGATTAAAAAGGTCAATAGAAAGAATTTTATAATTTTAGTAACATTTTTTAGATGTAAGGTTTTGTATTTTGGCCCTCTTTGGTTTCCAAGAGATTGGAGGAAAAGAAAATGACAACTTTTAACCTTTTTTATTTGCAAGATTTCTTCAGTTTTAATATCATTTGTCTTCTGGGAAACCAAGTGGGGCTTTTGCATTTTCTAATATTTTGAATTGCTTTAAAGTCAGAGGCTTGATTCATTTTTCATTGAATCATGTTCCATTTATTTTTTCAGGCATCTGGGTGAGAACACATAACTAGTGATCATAAAGAATGCAGGTCATGCAATCAATGTGGAGAAGTCGCAAGAGATGTTCAAACATTTGAAGTCATTCCTTGTCGATCCTCATCCTTCTAAACTCGAAAGCAATAGTAATAACGGCAAGACAGACTAAAGAATTCAGGAAAAAAAGGGAATTCGATTCAGGAGCTGTTCTGACCATCCTCATATGGGTTATACAGAGTGTTTCGGACAACACAAGTGATTTAGAGGTTTGAAAGTTTTCATTACAGATTTTTAAAAAGATATGTATTTTATACAGTAAACAGTGCAATAAAATGAGTCCCATTGAACCTGTGCAAGCATGGTAAATTACTGACTTGAATTTAGGTTTGATGACTGTTGCAGAGGCTCTTCAACTATTAGCAGCATAGCATCTCAACACAGCCATACCAGCTTCTTCTGAGTCTCAACCAATAGCGATAGCAACTCAGAGTCTTAGCGTACTTGAACCTTAGCCAAAACCAATTCATAGTGCCTACTTGAACCTTTGAAGACCATTCATCCAAAAGCCCCTCTGCTGGAGCATTAGCAGAACAGATAAGTAACAAAATAACATCTCATCACCAATGCATAACTGGGGCTAAAGCAGCAAAGCAGCCCAACTCAGAACTTGCAAGCAGATTCTAACCAGTAGACCACCATATTCCACCATCAGACCAACAGATTCAATCATAACATTCTAGCAGAATCATTAAACCATAGCCTAGTATAACATCCCAAAGTGAAAGCCCACTTGCAGCCAGTACTTACAGTAGCAGCACACCATAGCAACATAGCAACCCAACAGTAGAGGCCACTGCTAAACCTGGCATAACAGCTCATCAACCCTGCAAACAGATTGCCAACAACATAACACAGATCACCATCAGGACTTGCATCCAGTACTTGTAGCTAGCTTGCCCAACCAGACCAGCAGTAGCACCACATTGCAGTCCAACAGCAGAGCATAGTTAACAGCAGATTCAGCCTTCATTCCTGATGCAGTGCTGCACTTGTTGCAGATTATACACAAGATCAGTAATAGAGAACATCACAACCATTGGAGAAGACTTTACCCACATTGCTACTCTCACCTTCACAATATCACACAATTCGTCCCAATTCGGTTAGATGCGCTGGAACACACACTCATTTCTGTGTTTCCAGGTGGACCAGAGAATGGCTAGAGGGATAATTGTCCAAATTTTCTTTTCCAACCTTTTCATTCTACACCCAGACCACCACTGTAGCACTCCATTAACGGAGCCAGGAATAACCCACTGAAAACCCCACCATTTTACAATGTTTGACCAAAGCCTCCGTACAAAAAGGCAAAAAAGAAGAATATGATCCATTGTTTCTACCTCACTTTGACAAAACACACAGACAATATCCGCATTCCCATCAAGGATCCCGGCTCTTTGTAGAAAGCTAGAAGTTTTAACCTTACCGTGCCAAGCCAACCACCCAAAAAACTGCACTTTGGGTGGAGCACAATTATTCCAAATTGATCCTGCCATATCCAGCTTAGCCCCATGGAAAGAATCACACCAATTATAAGTTGAAGAAACAGTGAACGTCCTTGAGGTGTCTGCCTTCCATATTAGTTTATCTGTTTTGTTGCTACAAGGTGTAGGTACAGTACCAAGCAGAATGTAGAGTCTACTTAACTCTTGCTCCACCCAAACCCGCAATGCTCTTCTGAACTCCACTGTCCAGCTGCCAGCTTCACCCCATTCTTTGAAAGAAGCTGTTTACCACACCATGCTTGTTAGAAGATAAGGAAAACAGCCTAGGAAATTCCTCCTTGAAGCAGACAGTACCTGCCCACTTATCCAACCAGAAGAGTGATCTCCTTCCACCCCCCAACACAATCTTGGCATTATTAAGGTAGAAGTTATGTATATTTGAATTACACGAAACATTATGAATTATATCAGACCACAACTTAGATCCTCTGCCAACCAAACTTGGTTACCATCTACCTCCCTCTATATTATATTTCCTACAAATCACTTCCTTCTACAAAGATTGATGTTCAGACCCAAACCTCCACCACCATTTTAGTAAAAGACATTCGTTCATAGTTCTAATCCTTCTCACACCCAAACCACCAAGAGACTTATTTTTAGTGATAAACCCTTACTTCACCATATGCACCTTCCTTCTAAGATCAGATCCACCCCAAAGGAAGGCTGACTGGATTTTTTCAATCTCCTTAGCCACCCTTATAGGAATCTTGAACAGAGATAAGTAATAATTAGGCAAGTTGGTAAGAACAAATTTGATTAGAGTTAACCTTCCAGCAAAAGAAAGCACCCTTCTCCTCCAGGTAGACAATTTTTTCTTGAATTTATCTAAAACAGGTGACCAAGTACTTTTCCTGCCTGGATTTGCCCCCGAAGGCATTCCCAAATATTTCAAAGGAAGCTTCTGTAGCAGACAATTAAAACTAGTGGCAAAATCTTGTATCAGCCCATCATTCACCCCCATACCACAAATGACACTCTTGTGGTAGTTTATTTTCAAACCCGATAAGACCTCAAAGCATCTCAGAATTCGTTTGAGATTCATCACTTCCACCCAGTCAGCTTCACAAAACAATATAGTATCATTTGCAAATTGTAAATGGTAAACTATAACACCACTTCGACCAACCTCAGCCCCTTTTTTGAATCCCAACTCCTTGGCTCTACTCAACAAGGTATTCATCCCCTCTGTTACAATGTTGAAAAGAAATTGTGACAATGGGTCACCTTGCCTCAAACCCCTTTGGGGACTAAATTCAAATGTTGGAGACCCATTAACCAAGACAGAGATCTTAACAGAAGACACACAAGTTCTCATCCAGCTCACCCATTTGTCTCCAAAGCCAAAATTTGAGAGCATAGAGAATAAGAATTCCCAATTAACTGAGTTATACGCCTTTTCAAAATCTAATTTGATTACCAATCCTCTTCTATTAGCTGTTTTCCACCCATCAATCACCTCATTAGCTATCAAAACCCCATCTAGTATGTGCCTTTCCCCCCAAAAAAGTTGACTGAGGCCTCGTTTGGGAACATGCTAATTTAGTAACTTTTTGGCTATTTGGCTAAAATATGGGCTAAAAAAAACTAGTATGTTTGGGATGACTTTTTGACTTTTTACGAAAAGATGTGCAAAAAGTAGAGAGAAAAGAGAATCTTTGACTTTTTGGTATGGGTTGTTGGATTTTTGGCTAATTTAGTAACTTTTTGACTTTTTGACTAAAAAGGAGGGTTCCCAAATGAGGCCTGAATATCGCTAATTATCCTAGGCATCATCTGTTTAATCCTGTTTGCTAGCACCTTAGCAAGAATCTTATATAAAGAGACAATCAAACTAATGGGTCTATACTAGTTCAAACAAGATGGGCTATCAGATTTTGGGATTAGAGCAATAAAGGAGCTATTAAGCCCTCTGACCAAGGTTGCATTCTGATGAAATTCTCTCATGGATTGAAGCACATCATGTTTTACAATGCCCAAACACTTCTTGAAAAAAGACATGTTGAACCAATCAGGCCTAGGGGCCTTATTGCCCTCACAGCTCTTGATTACCTCTCTGATTTCCTCATTTAAGAAAACAGCCTCAAATTGTTCCACCACTTGAGCACCACCAATGTTCTTAAAAGAACCAGCTAATTTAGGTCTGTGGCTTCAAGATTCTGAGAATAACCTCATGAAATGAGTCTTAACTTCTTCCTTAATTCCCAGAGGCTCCTCAATTAATGATCCATTAACAAGAATTGAACACAAAGAGTTTCTACTATTTCTAGTAGAAGCCAAAATGTGAAAATACCTAGTATTTCTATCGCCTTTAGATGCCCAGTTGCTTCTAGATTTTTGCAACCAAATCCATTCCAACATTTTACTGAGTCTCCAAACTTCACTCCTAACTTCCTTTCTTCTCCCCTGTTCTGGTGCAAGAAGTGGTCTTTCTTCAGCTAATAGATCAAGAGCATGAGCTTCATCTTCTACAATTTTAAGCTTAGCTTTAATCTTACCAAACACCTCCATGTTCCACTGTTTTAGTGCTTGTTTCAAAGCTTTAAATTTCATAAGACACTTGAACCCTGCCCATCCATCCACCATAAGCTCTAACCAGGTTTGCTTCATAAAAGGGAGAAAATTAGGATGTAACAGCCAGGCATTGATAAACCTAAACGGCCTAGGGCCCCAATCCCTATCATCCTCCATTAAAATAATGGGACAATGGTCAAACAACAGTCTAGGAAGACCCCATAATTTGCAATTGAATGTTTGCACCCAATCATGGTTAAGTAGGAATCTATCTAGTCTACTCCACTTCTCTCTATCTTGGGAATTACACCAAGTGAACTTCCTCCCGAGCATGGGCATATCCATTAATTCCAATTGAGCAATCATATTATTAAAATCCCTCATCCCTTTATCCCGTTTGGAGCACCCAATCCTTTCTGAAATGGTTCTGATTTCATTAAAGTCCCCATCCAAACACCACGGCCCTAGAAAAATGGATTTTAATCTAATTAAACACTCTCACACCTCTCTTCTTTTTGCCGCCTCATTAGGACCATAAACATTGATGATAGCACACTCGAAACTATGAAAAATTGTACCTGAGAGCAGCAAGAAATTCTGGTTGCAGCAGCTAGCCTTCAATTGGAAAACATCCGGATTCCATATGCAAAGTAGTCCTCCAGCTCTACCAATTGCATCAACAGACATGAACTCAAAGTGGTCACTCGGCCATAAAGACTTAACCAACTTTGAATTGACTTCCGATTTCTTAGTTTCTTGAAGTAAGACAATATCCACTCTTTTTTCAGCAAGACTTTGCTTAACCTTTCTCCTTTTTTCTGGTCGCCCAAACCCTCTTACATTCCATGATTGTATCTTCATTTAACAGTGCTAAACACTCTGACCCCCTGGAATTGCTAAATTAATTAACATCACCATCCCTTGTCCTGGCTCTTTCTAAATCTTGAGTTTCCAGATCTTGTAAATGGCTTATCACCTCCTCTTCTTTCCCTTCGTAATCAAGACCAAGAGCTTTCCAAATTTCAAGTGATGCTTCCGCCTCCGACAACAGTAACCTTCCACGGCTTGATTCTCCTGCTATGGAGAGTGATATAGCAGCTACAGCAGACCTGAAAATGGCTCCTCTCCTTAAATTTAAAGACGATGCCCCCCCATTTATGCCACCAACCAACTTCCCTTTCTTCTTCCTTTGCTTACCAGTCGTACATTTCCCTTGCCCCTTCCAAGTATGCTTTCTGGTTGCAGTTGGATTGACCACTGTCAGCGCTCCATTTACCTTACGTTTATGAGTACCCACCTCCCTATGGATTTGGGTTTCAGAAACATTTGAAACTTGAGTGTTGCTAATCTGTTTATAGCCCAAACCATTTCTTTGTATAGGAAGTAGGCCAAACTTAACAGGGCCTTCCGAGACAGGGGTCCTGGGCTGATCTCCTACAAAATTAATCCCAGGACTGCTCCCAATTGGGCCACCATTAAACTGCTCTGTTAACTAACTCTGTTAACTGCTGTACGCTTTCGCCTTCGCCTTCGCCACTTCAACCTCCCCGACAAGTGTCTGCTCCGATAGCGCGTAAAGCCAGAGATGAAATTGTCATCAAAATTACCAGAAGCCGATACATTGGCATCACGTTCAAATCAATATCTTCTTCCTCATCCCATGAGTACTTACGATCGCTCTCAAACAACCCATGTGAGCTGTTGACATGACGACCATTCCCACCTCCACCAAATGATTCCAACCTGAAAATAGCATCATCCACATCGTAGTCTCCACAAAAGCCGCCACGATAGTTCCTCTCTATTACATAATCTCCCATTACAATTGCCCCCCATAGGCGATCTAATCGTGCTCATCACATCCTCTCGTTCTCTCTCGTGCTCAAGCCTTTTCCATTTCTCTGCAAGTGTGTAGGGTCCACTTCCCGTGGACACGCACATGGGTGCTCTGCCTTTACGTGCTTCCTCAGTTCTTTGCGTGCTGGTTCTCCCCTTGGTATTAAAATATTTGCGTGCTGGTTCCACTACTGTCCAACCTTTCACCTGCCCCCGGCAAAGTGGACACAAAAGCTCAGAAACTTGTGTCTTTTCACTGAGGCAACCTAACCCTAGAAGGCCCGATTCGCCAATGGACCCAAGCCATGGTTCTGCAATCTGGGTTGACAATCCTTGTCGTAAGGGGAGCAGAGGACGAGGACAGCATTGTGAGGGTACTCCATACACACCGAGCAAGTTGCATCGTCCCACTGTTTTATCTCTGGTGCCTTTGAACGTTTCTTCTTCTGATGGACATCTTTCAAAACCTTTGAAGAATGAGAAGGTAATGGATATGGGGTGACCCTATTGTGAGATATGTAAAATATCTGAATTGATATTGCAAAATGTTATATCTATTGATTACAAGAGGAATGCTTACTTATAGAGAAAGCACCGAAAGAGAATGTCGACATAATAATGAAGCATAATAAAAAGTGGTGAGTGGTGTTTCTTCTTTACCACCGAAAGATTCCTATCCCCTATGCTCTGTATCTGATCATATACTATTATATATTATTATTATACTATATCTGATCATATACTATGATATATTATTATTATGCTATATACATATATATTACATGAGATTACATTATATATTAACAGCCCCCCTCAAACTCAAGGTGGAAAAACATTGACCAACTGGAGTTTGGAGACAAGTTCAATGAAGCGGCCAGGAGAATGAGCTTTGGTGAAGATATCAGCAGGTTGATCAACAGAAGAGATCGGAACAATGCAATCCGTGTTTTGATAAGATCACACAGCTTTTCGAAGTCCAACTGTGCCTTGTTAAAAATAATATCATTCCTCTGCTTCCATAAAGACCAAAGCACTGCCAATGGGATTGACTTCCAAAATGCCTTCAATCTTTTAGTGCATGTAACCCCAGTCCACCATTGAAGAAGACCCACTACTGACCCCGGCTGCACCCAAGATACACCCCACCATCCAAGAATATTAGACCAAACTCTCCAACTGAACATACAGCACAGCAGCACATGGGACGCAGTTTCCCTTTCCTTCATGCAGAAAACACAGTTAACATCCGAGTTGGCACTAAGGATCCCAATACTTTGCAAAAAGGTAGAAGTCTTGATCCTCCCTTTCCATGCTAGCCAAGCAAAAAATTGCACTTTCGGAGGTGCAGCATTCTTCCAGATGAGATCCACCACTTTTGTAGGCAGATTAGATGGTAATTCACTCCACTTGTAGACAGACGATACAGTAAAGATACCCGATCTGTCAGCAGCCCAAGACAACCCATCTAGCACACCATTCCTGAGCTCTGGAGCAGTTTGTAGTAACTCCTTCATCCTCCTCAACTCTTCAAGTTCCCATTGAAACAATGCTCTTCTGAAAGACAAATCCCACTCCCCATCTCCATTGCTTTCGCTGGTAATCACTGCCACTGATAGACCTTTATGCATAGACAAAGAGTATAATCTAGTCTCTCTGTTTTGGATGATTAACCACTATGCACAAAAATTAAAATGAGACCTAATCTATGAAAACAACCATATATAACTGACACTAAAACTAAGATAATTCACACTCCTACAGGGAGAGACCAAACCTTCAGATCTTCTTAACTGATACTAACAATCGACATCGCTGAGCAGAGATCCCCATTAGAATGCTGCCACTTGAACTGCAAGTGACACGGTTCGATTGCGATCTGAGTACTACCCATTTGTAAATTATCTAACTCTGTTAACTGCTCTACGCCTTCGCCTTCACCGCTTCAACCTCCCCGACAAGAGTCTGCTCCGATAGCGCGTAAAGCGAGAGATGAAATTGTCATCAAAATTACCAGAAGCCGATACATTGGCATCATGATTCAAATCAATATCTTCTTCCTCATCCCATGAGTACTGATGATCACTCTCAAACAACCCATGTGAGCTGTTGACATGATGACCATTCCCACCTCCACCAAATGATTCCAACCTGAAAATAGCATCATCCACATCGTAGTCTCCAGAAAAGCCGCCACGATAGTTCCTCTCCATTACATAATCTCCCATAACAATTGCCCCCGCCATAGGCGATCTAATTGTGCTCATCACATCCTCTCGTTCTCTCTCGTGCTCAAGCCTTTTCCATTTCTCTACAAGTGTGTAGGGTCCACTTCCCGTGGACACGCACATGGGTGCTCTGCCTTTACGTGCTTCCTCAGTTCTTTGCGTGCTGGTTCCATTATTGTCCAACCTTTCACCTGCCCCCGGCAAAGTGGACACAAAAGCTCAGAAACTTGTGTCTTTTCACTGAGGCAACCTAACCCTAGAAGACCCGATTCGGCAATGGACCCAAGCCATGGTTCTGCAATCTGGGTTGACAATCCTTGTCGTAAGGGGAGCAGAGGAGGAGGACAGCATTGTGAGGGTACTCCATACAAACCAAGCAAGTTGCATCGTCCCACTGTTTTATCTCTGGTGCCTTTAAACGTTTCTTCTTCTGAGGGACATCTTTCAAAACCTTCGAAGAATGAGAAGGTAATGGATATGGGGTGACCCTATGATGTCGACAATCGGACTGCGGCTGCACCTTGCCAACTTTTGCCATTCACAAATCAAACCTGATACTCATACCAAACCAAAACAAAATGAAACGTGCAGTGACAGATCAAACATTCTAAATCAGCAAATTTCCTTTCAAAAATTTGAGAATAAGCAAACAAGTTTTTGGGTTAATCGTAGAAGTTAAATCAACAAATCACCTTTCATATAGGACTCAAATCAGTCGAGAGAATTTTTCATGCCATCTAATGTTTAGTTGCTTCTCCTATAATATTGTGTGGGTAATTTTCTGACCACACTGCCTGCCTAGTAATCAGCTGGAGAGCACCGGCAGAATAGATGGCTTCAGCAAACCTGTAACAGAAAGAAAAGGCTTCGACGGTGGCTCTTCCATCCGGCGGCACTCTGACGATCAAGTCAGTATATCTCTCAAAGATAATCAAGTGCTAAACTCACAAGCTTGAATATAAAACTGCGTACCTTAGACCCACGGGGGTGCCTCTCTTTTATAGTTTACTAAATCCAAGTCCCACTAGAAGTCTGACTTCTATGGACTCCAATTCAATGTCAACTTTGGACTCTTTAAGAGATAAAGATAAACTCCCTAAGAGTTTTATCCTTATCTTAGCAAAGTCTTCTCTTTTATCTAGGACTCTTGCTCCTTATGCATTTATCCGCCTATCTCGGATTCCAATATCTTCGGAGATCACCTCGGCCTCACTAAAGATAACCTCGGCATAACTACCAAGACACGTGGCACCTCGGCTGACACGTCGGAGTCACCATGCTACGTGTTGGTATTCAGAAAATACATCCCCACAACTGCCCCCTAGGTTCTATTACCTTGGCATTCTGAGGTGATGGAACCTATATCTGTATTTTCTTCTAGTACCTCGGCGTAAGAACTTTTTTGGTCGAGATCATTCATTTTCGGTCGACATGCCTTCATCAAAGAACAAGAACTCAAACGAACTCCACCACGCACATGAGCTGTCATGCACCTTTCTCAACCGTTCCCCTCACGTGCTTTATCCTCATTGGCCCGTGTCTGTGATGCGCCTGAAAGTTGTATTTCACCTATCTGCGCCGTCAGACGTGTGCGTTGTTCCAGGCGTAATAAATGCCCTGCTTTTGCCGCCGTTTCAAGTTTTTTACAAAACTTTTCCCCCTTTCTTTTCGTCTCTTTAATTTTGTTTTCGATTTTCTGGCTTTCTCTCTCTCTTAAACCTTTTCAAATCCGCCATTGCTCTAGCCCCAAGCTCTACAACCGTCTTCATTCTCCCTTTGAAGCTTTCGCCGTTCCGTCATGTCTGCAACCGTTGCCTTACCTCGGCGACTTTCATTCCGGCTTCATTTGTTCTGGTAAGCCTCTGTTCCTCTTATTCCCAATTTCTTTTATGTGCTTTCGTTTACTTACTACCATTATTGCGCTGTTCAAACCTTTGATTTGCTGAACTATTCATCTGGATGTGTCTTTTCCATGACTTTACTCATATCTTGAACACTTGCACTGTTTTAATACTTTTCTTGCCACTGTTCTTGACCTTTTACTTCTGTATTTCTTTCGCTTTTGAGAACCATACCTCTGTTCTTCGTTTCTGAAACGTCATTCTTTGTTTGTTGTTTTCTGTTTTTCCTTTCCAGATCTGTGCCTTTGATCTTCATCTTCATAGTTCTTAGGCTTGGGATTTGTTTGTAGAACCTTTAATTTAGGGAAAACTGAAACAAGCCGTACCAATATTCTCCTAGGTTTTTGTCGAGGTTCCAATAACCCTTTAAGAATACCTTCTTTCTGAGACCTAGCCCTCTAATTTTAGGCCGACGTTATGGGTAAGTGGAGACATAGGGTAGATACCCCGACCAAACTGGAGTACTTCAGGCGGGAGTTCTCAATTCCTGCCGATGTCCATCTAAGGCTGGCTGAAGATAATGACTCTATCATGCCCACAGATGATTCAATGCCCTTTCCTATAGTAGCTTTTACTGAGTGCGGACTCCGGCTCCCACTTAACATTCTTTTTCGCGAAATTCTTCACTTTTACAAGGTGAACCCTATGCAACTCGCCATAAACTCTTATCGAGTGATCAATGGCATCATAGCTTTAGCTAGGCAGGAGAACGCTAGGATTACCCTGGCCGACATTCAGTTCTGTTATACCATGTGCCCCCTTAGCCTGAAGGAAAAAGGCTTTGTTTATTATCTTAAGCCGAGGTCGACAGAATACAAAATCGTAGCTGACCTCCTAGACTCCAACAAGGGGGCTAGAGATGACTATGTTATTGCTTCGAGAAATTGGGAGTTTGGCCCAGACGAGGACGCCCATCTCTACCCTCTTCCCCGATCTATTAAAGAGGGCAAAGGTAAGAGCCCAATGTCAATACTTTAGTTGTTTCTGTTCAAGTCTTCAATATTTAATCTGTTTCTAATGTTTGTCTCTTCTTGCAGACGTTCGTAAGTTACCGAAAGACTTTTGCCAAATCTACGTTCCCAGCAGAGACTTAAAGAAGCTTCTAGATCTGCCAATCCAAAAGCGCAAGGCCCCGCTGGTATTGAATTTTATTCCGACGTACAAGTCCACACTGCCGACGTTCCCAAACGAAAGAAGAAAAGCCTTTCTTCTCCTACTGCCACAACTCAAACCACCTCTTCACGAACAGATCAAGAGTCAACATCTGACCCAGCTGATCTGCCAACTACTTCAGCCCCATACTTAATCCCAATACCAGAAAGAAAACGTCGGCGACGACTTGTCAAGACTGCTGAGATGGGTCGCCCGAAGCATGTTGCTGTTGATCTCTTAGCCGACCTTCCCACGGATGTTGACGCTCAACCGACGCAAACCATGCCCCCACCAAAGCCGAAGAGAATTAAAAAGGCTCAGCCCAAGGCCAAAGCTACTGAGGTTAAGGCTGAGGACACTCTGCCTATCTCACACTTGGTTGAGAGTAAAAAAACTGCTTCTACTTCTGCAAAAAGGTCTCCTGAGGCCCAGCCATCGGAATCCACCCAATCAAAGAAACCGGGGTCATCGTCTGCGATGACCTCGGGTTCCAAAATACCAAAGGTCCCTTGGAGACCAGAAATTACTCTGGAAGATAAGCCAGTCCTAGCCAACGACAGTGCTGATGACATAAACGTCGGTGTGGCCCTAAGTACTGCTCTACTCCTCCCAGGCGATCTTGAGCGAAACACCAAGATGAGTGAGTATGAGAATTACGCTTTTATGCTGCAACACTCTATCCAAGTAAGTGCCTTTGTGTTGAAATTTGTTTTCTCTCTTAATTTGTAAAATTTTGTAACAATTTGTGCCTTGTGTTCTTTTAGGCCATCCAACATGCCCACTCCCTCTCCATGCAAGCTTTCGAAATAAGGGAGAGGTTGGCCGACATGAAGAGGGAGGTTTCTGCTCTTAAAAAGGAGAGCAAAACTCTTCAGTTAAAAATGAAAAAACTGGAAGACCAGGCTGAGGCTGCCACCAAAGCCCAAACCTTAGCCGAAGAAAAGGCCGAGTCTGCTGAGGCCATCAAAAAAGTTGCCGAGGCCGAGAAGAGAGAGGCCGAGGTCAAAAAGGTCCAAGCTGAGAAAGAGCTTCAAAAGGCTCTGGCTACCAAAGAAGCTGAGATTAAAGAAGCTGATGAGAAGGCTTACGCCCAAGGCATGGCCGACGTCTCTGAGGAATACAAACTGCAAGTCAGGCAGGCATGCAACAGGGGCTTCTCTCTCGGTTGGATGGCCCTTACCAAAAAGCTCAACATCCCAGATGACTCGCCACTGCGCAAAGCCGACGCTATTCCTCTGCCATTCTCCCCTCCTCCTCCATCAAGTCAACCTGAAGGAGGATCTGAATCTGAGTCTGAAGATGCCGATGAGGAAGAGGATGAGGCCTTGGTCAGAAAATCAAGGGATGCTGATGGGGCTAAGTCCTCTCTTCTGAATGAACAAGTCCTTGACCTGACTCAAGATGAAGAAGGTGATGAGGTTATCCCTGAAGCTGTTCCTGACACTGTTCCAGCCGACATCCCGTCCGAGGTTAAGAATGTTGAACAAACTCTTCAGGAAATTGATGCCGAAATAGCGGCAGAGAAGGAGGCCGAGGTTGTATCAGATCTCCAAATTCAACAATCTGGAGGAGAAGACCCTTAGTTTTGTGTTTTGTTTTTCCTTTATCTTTTTCTGAACAATATAAGCTTTTGCATGGCCGACGTGCCTCCCAGTTTTGTAAATGTTAACTCAGCTTTCCTTTTCTCAATGCTTGAATGCTTGAATCTTTGTCTTTTCTTTGGTTGCTTCTGCATAGTTCTAGACTTAGAATACTTTGCATGCCCTTCATATCTTGCCACTTTTGTGCAATCTTCTCGGGGTTACATATCGCGGGTTTAATAACTACAAGTTTTACTTCGGCAAGATATTGACCTGCAAACTTTTCATAATTTTCAACAAGTGTAAAACATATACTATTCAATGTCAATTTTGCAAACTTTTTTCCAAGTTTCAGCAAGTATTTAAACAGTGATCTCGATCTAACCTACTTGTAAATTGTTGCAAATTTCAACAAGTGTTAACATATACTGTAAATTTTTCTCAAGTTATAACAATGATCAACTTGTAAATTGCTACAAATTTCAACAAGTGTTTAAACAATATACTTAGCTTTTACCTCAATCTGTAAATTGCTGCAAATTTCAACAGATGATCACACGTCGGCTTAACATTATCTTGTAAATTGCTACAAATTTCAACAAGTGTTAAGCATCTTCTTTGTTTGGATCAACCTGTAGATTGCTATAGGTGTGCAAATTATAGCCTCGGCTTTATTTCGACTTGTAAATTACTACAAATTTCAACAAGTGAAGAGAAATAGTAATCTCGGCTTAACTTCAACTTGTAAATTGCTACAAATTTCAACAAGTGAATTAAGGAATAATCTCGGCTTAACTTCAACTTGTAAATTACTACAAATTTCAACAAGTGAAGATAAGGAATCAGCTTAATTCCAACTTTTAAATTGCTACAAATTTCAACAAGTGAATTAAGAAATAATCTCG